TATACTGAACTCTAATGTGTATATGCGTGTTTTGTGTTTGTGTGCACATGTTTACAACCAATATCCATAGACTGACAAGAAAAATTATTACGTGACGTCATCTGCTGGTTTCAAAGCTGCATTCTAAGACGTAGAACCAACCCCTATATCACCACAACATTTGTGGAAGTTACGTTTCCCACAGCGCATTAAATCCGCACAGATAGTGTTCGTGTCACTCACTATATGTTTATCCGGAATTTGTAATTAGACTTCCGTAATGTTTGTTTGTTTTTTTCTAGGATGAACTGACAACTTATTCCATTGGCCATTTTAAGCAAATATGCTGTATATGTGAGTGTTTACATGAATAAAGAGAGACCAAACGCGAATCAAGAATAAAAACAAAGCTTGTCAAGTGCTGAATGGCCTTTCAATCAACGTCCATCGAGCAAATCCATGGTAGTCTTTGCCACGATAGGGAATAAATCCCCATAAGCGGTTTCCCGCAACCGATTATTATAATTACCATAAATTCATGCCAATGCGTGCAGCATTGGAAAACATTTCCCAAGACTAAGCACTGTCTTTGGTCACTGCTGCGTTATTCCGAGACCTATTTGCCTGTCACTGCTCCTTGTGGTACCCACATCACAAAGATCAGCAACAAGCAAACAGATCTCGGAATTCTACAGCAATGACAAGGGGACCGCAACTACCCTAGTCCTGAAGCACCGGACAAATGTCATATAAGCGAACAGGTATCAAGAATCACAGTTAGGAAAGAAACCACTGTTCCGCGCATTATTGGTCACACAGAATATATATGTGTGTGTGCATGCGTAGGCACACACTCACACACACACACACACACACACACACATATATATATATATATATATATATATATATATATATATATATATATATATATATATATGTATGTATGTATATGCATATGCAAACACACACACACAAACACATATATACATCTATGCATTCATACACACGCATACATGCATATATATACATGTATATACATGTATACACATATATACATGACTGCTGCGATGGTCTAGTGGTTAGAGTACCGGACATATCGCCTTGAGAAGTCAAACGCAGTTGTCGTAGGGGTAGGCCGTGGCACAAGCGTTACGCGCCGAACCGCAGTTGATTAGGAAGGGCATCCAATCAGGCAAGGGTGGCACTGGTAAATAACCTATGTCCTGCAGTGGAATGAATGGCTATTGAAAAAAAAAAATGTATGTATTTATATATATACACACAAACATATCCATGTATGTGTACACATGCATACATACATACATATATATATATACATATATATGTATATATACGTGTATACACACACACACATATGTATATGTGTGTGTGCGTGTGCGTGTGTGTGTGTGTGTGTGTGTATGTGCGTGTGTACGTATACATGTATGTGCACACACACACAGATATATATATCTTGAAGTAGATAAAGATGTATACTTTACCTTTGTAGACTTAGAGAAAGCATACGATAGAATCCCTATAGACCGAGTGTATCGGTGCCTGCGGAAAAGAACGTTCCAGAAAATCTAATCAGAATGGTAAAGGCAACACATAAGGGGGCTAGAACTGTAGTGAGAACCAGGTACGGGAAAACGGGTGAATTCCCCATCAACGTAGGACTACATCAAGGGTCAAGCTTGAGCTCATTCCTGGAAGTAGAACAATGAAGGGAAGTACAGGAAAACACACGAATATGCCGAAGGCCTTTTCGCATTTACTGCATAATCGTGTGTTTAACTGTACTTCCCTTCATTGTTCTAGTTGCAATGTGTTCGACATGAATTCCACACGAGCTCATTCTTGTTCATGGTGGTACTGGACGTCATAAGCGAGGCTTTTAGAGGAGGACTACCGTGGGAACTGTTGTTCGCCGATGATTTGACCCTGGTGGCAGGTAATGAAGACGAACTACAAAGAAAATGGCTGCGTTGGCAAAATGCAATGGAAAGCAGAGGACTGAAGGTAAACACCGGAAAAAAAAACAGAAGGCATGGTTAGCAGTACAAGAGGGACGAGAGCGGATATTAGAGACCGAAACAATACCAGCTTGGGACAGGTGGACCAGGAATTTTTTACACATCATCAGGGAAAGACGTGGGATATAGGTAGGAAAAGTCCCAGTCAGCAATAGAAGGGATAATTGATAGAAACTTTCTATCCCGCTTAGGCTTCGTGCCTTCGGCACTCGCAATCGTCTCGGCTAGGGGTTACGCCCCCCCTTTCTAACAATCCTGGATCCGGCCCTGAGTGTCCGAGAAAGGTGGCTCAGACTGCAGCATGGACAAAACGGAGAGAACTGCCTGGTGCCATTAGTGAAAGGAAAATGCCAAGAAAGTTGTAGATTAAGGTATATACCACCATAATAAAACCTGTCCTCCTATGTGGTGAAGAGTCGTGGACAATGCGTGTCAAAGATGGAAAGCTACTAGAGACAGCGAGGAAGAGAAAGCTGAGAATAAGAGGAGTTACTCTAAGGGTCCGGAAAAGAAGTGAGGATATCAGGAAGGAATTGGGTGTAATAAACATCAACGAACAGGCACGAGAGATCAGAATGAGATGGTATGGTCATGTGATGAGAATGGAAGATCGGAAACCAGTGAAGAGAGTAATGTATGAAAATGTAAAGGGAAGAAGACCTAGAGGAAGACAAAAAAAAAAAAAGAAAGAAAATAACAGCAATGGAATGCGTGGACAAGGGCAGCCAACCCTGCAATTTAAGTGGGATTATATGGCATAAGAGAGAAAAAGAGTATATATATACAGTGTGCGTGTGTGTGTGTGTGTGTGTGTGTGTGTGTGTGTGTGTGTGTGTGTGTGTGTGTGTGTGTGTGTGTGTGTGTGTGTGTGTGTGTGTGAGAGAGAGAGAGAGAGAGAGAGAGAGAGAGAGAGAGAGAGAGAGAGAGAGAGAGAGAGAGAGAGAGAGAGAGAGAGAGAGAGAGAGAGAGAGAGAGAGAGAGAGAGAGAGAGAGAGAGACTTCCTAGAATGCGATTCCAGAAGTAAAATTCCAACAATTGTATTTATCTTGAATGTATATGCTTAACATATCTTGTAATTTTAGTATCTCATTATACGTATTCTTTATCAATCCAAATTTTAAACAAAATATGAAGATAAAGTAAAAGATTAGATGAGACGCAAATCGCAGAACCACAACAGACATGGCAGGCATCAAAGGTCAGGCTCGCTCCTCCTCGTAAAAAAAATCTCGTTCTCGCAGTCTGTCTTTACGAAATAGAGAATTGCACATCTAATTTAAACTCGACATAACTCACTGAAGCTAAATGTTAAGGAGAATATGAATAATTCGCTGCGAAAAACTGTTTATTAGTGCACTCTTCCTTCCCTTTGGTCAGCTGTCAGTGAGTCATTGAGAGAAAACTTGATTCAGGAGCCACAATTTCCACTTATTATTCGTTATGATTCTTTTTCCAGATTTTACCAATATCTAGTTCATATTTTGTGGAAGCCAGAAGGGAAATTTCTCCCATATGGCAAAAATCTCCTTTTATTGTCGAAGAATAATTTATTTCTCTGGACCTACGTTTTATCATATTGTGTGTTATCTACTTCCTCTGTAACTTCTTAAACCCCTTTTGTTTCTCCTCTTGACTCCCAAAAGACTCTCTCTGAACTACTGTCCACTATCCACTGTTATCCACACTATCTACTACTCTCTACCACAATCTACTTGACTTGGAGTAACAATTTCCCGGCACCATGCGCATGACAGGTATGATTTACAGTCTTCGGTTTCATTCTCCAGTAGTATTGCCTGTACTTTTGTATTTTTTTTTTTTTTTTTTTTTTTTGTATCTATTATTATTATTGCCTGTACTTTTGTATCGTGCGTCTGTATGGTTACTCTCTCTACGCTTGGGATGAGGACCTGTCCCGTTTTTTTTTGCTCTTTGTTGTCGTTTCTTTAGTTTTTTGTATGTTTTATGTGGTTTTGATTTTATGGGTTTTCTTATTTTTGTTTTATGGATTTTGTTGACATGAAGGAAGGATATATGAGTTTTGTACTGCATCACGATAACTATATATTACATCAACTTCTTAAGACAAGACACATTTATTGTCTATGTTGCTTTTATATACAGTTATGCTGTCGAAAAAGTTTTTCTTTTAAATATTATATAGTTCAAATATTAGCATAGAGACATTTGCTTCACAGTAGTCTGATTTCCTAAACCAGTTAACCTGCAAATACCAGACCACGCTTATAGGCATCGTGACGCACTAGAGCTGGTTGATCAGAGAGATCTGCTCCATGTAGCAGACTCCTGGCATATACGGCAGGATAGTTGCCAGAAACCTCCGGAGTAAGTGACTCAGAGAGATTTCTGATACTGTCATTAAAGGGTTAATATTTCTGAGGGCAGTGCACAGAGATAGAGGGAAATAGATATTGCCATCTTAGAGAGCATAAGAAATAGTCATAAACAATCCAGGAATAGGTGGTGCTGCCACATATTTACAGCAAAATGATGAAAATATCCACAGTGTATCACTGCTTAAGACCCTCACACAGCCAGCATTCTTAATGTTGCATTTTCTAAAAAGTGGCACAAAGTGCTAATAGAGGAGAGGTACAGGGGGGGGGCTTGTCCCCCTTATATTGGGAGTAAATAGAAAATGGGAAATGTTAGGTTTGGGTTTTTGGGTTTGCATGATACTCCAGTGTATAAATAAACCATTGGTTAGAGCAGATGTATAAAAAATCTGGTTTTAGGACTCATCTTTGGAGAGTGTGCCACTCATTAACAAATACCCATAAATCTTGTAAATTTTAAATCTGATTGATGACTACCAAATGCTCCTCTTGTAAACTGTCTGGATGTAGGCATAAGGATATTCTTAAAGGTTTATAGAAAGTGTGTGTTTGATATGAAGATAACATGAATGCATATATATTTTGTGCTTGTCAGATATAGTTGTGGCTTGTTTATTGGAGCTGCATGACAGACCCATGTTCTTGGTATACTATACCTATAAAAGGCAGCCTACTTGGTATATCTGTGGGGCGGCTATATTTTTTGCTTGAATTTTTAAACTGATACAGATTATATGTGCAAAAACAAATTAGAACAGCAACGACAGCAAAGGGTAATTCTAATTAAAGTACTGCACTATTTTTTGTTTTTTTCCTCTTGCCCCTTCCATCTTATGGGACCCAGGGGGAATCAGGCATTTAAGGGTAGGGGAGACATACCCACCTTCACAATCCCCTCCTGAATCAAACTCCCAGACCCTTTCCCCTGGGGGATTTCTTCTAGCAGGGGCATACCCCAGGATCCCCTTACCCTGGGGCATTGCATTACTAGGGACAAGCACCTGGATCCCCTTCCACTGAGGCATTTCACTACTTGGGGCAGGCTCTGGACCCCCTCTTCCCCTGGGGTATTTAACTTACTTTGATTTATCATACCAGAAGTCTTGCCTTTTGATATAAAAGTTTGATAGCAGTCAAATAATGCATAATCCTGTATTTTCTCAGAAATTTGGTTATAGTTTGTTTCCCACAGCCATGCTGTACATAGTAAAATTTGCCTGTAATGGACAGAATGACCAAAAGTATGACACTTTTCATTTATGGTACTCCCCTTGCAAGTTGATAGTAAGAAAATTGTGCAATACTTAATATTTTGTCATACATTTCTGGGAAAATATAATGGCACTGTAATAAACAAAGAAAATCTACTCTCACAAATTCATGAAATGATTTGCTTAGGCAAAAAATTATATCAGAAATAAAGAAAATAGGTTGCAACAAATGCTGTGGGGTGAGCAAGTCTAAGTCGTGTTGGGGTCTGAGAGTAGAACCCCCAATAAGGAAAAAACAGCGATCAGATGGGGGACTGTGACCAAAGCCCCCAGGTTAGGTAGGTTTTTGGTTGACACAGCAATGTTTGTGGATTGGCTGGGCTGGAGTAGGACTAATAGAGACTTAATCTCAGAGGGGTAAGGTCACTTTGTAAACATTACCAATACTTTTATTTATATAATTTCTGACTGAAAATGAGAGATTCAAGCATTGCCCTGATGTAATGGCAATGGCTGTGCTTGATGGCTAACTGTTTTCCTGTATTACTTATTTTTTCAACTGATACATGGTATTCTGGAATATAAATATCCTAGATGGCTTTTGATATCTCATGGTGGGTTGTGCTGTGTTAAAGATGCTCACTATAAGTATGAATATGCAAGAATGCATTGAGCAGTTTGATATATCTTTACTGCCTCCTCAGTTCTGTGAGTGACAAGTTCTGTGAGTGACAAGTGACATTATTATTGTTTAAGGTTTCCTCATGACAACACGTAAAAAGAATAAGACTATTTTGGGAATGTTAGGTACATATGGCTTAAGACAGATGTAAAAGTAGCTTTAGGTAAAGGGTATTTGTTTCTATATGAATTTACTGGGGGCACACTATTATAATTGTGGCTTTGCTAGAAGGCTTAGAGCATTGTTTACATTGAGATGAAAGGCTTAGTAACATTGTCAGTAAAAAAGCCCCTTATTTATGTTCTGTCCCCTGTAGTTTTTGGTGAATATTATTACATACAGATGGCTCCACATGTGCTCAGCCGGCAAGGAGTCTATCAGTAGCCCCTAGTTACCGACCCTGATTTTCCCATTCATTGAACTGGCGGGAAAATTAATACCATTGCTATCGATACTTTTATTATTATTATTATTATTGATATTATGACTATTAAATTGTCATTAGAATATTTTAGACAATGAAATGATACAAAAAAACTTTCCTAAAGTGAAGGAAAAGAGTAAACAGGTGAAATAGGTTTTCTTGATAACTGGCTATTTGGTTATTAACCCATTCGCGCCGGGTAAAAATGAACAAAAAATGGGGGAAATGCTGTGCTCATTTTTTATATTTTTTAATGAAATTTCTCTACACTAGATGGCTCTGCTTTACCGGATTTCATTTGGCGGGAAAATGTATTTTTACTAGTGCTATGAATATCGATGGTTATTTTTATTATAAACATTATAATTACTATAATGTTATAAACATTAGTAACAGCAAAATAAGATAACGCAAATTAATTTCGTAAATTAAAGAAAAGGGTAAACAGACGAGACAGGCAGTACAAGTGCAAGTGGAGCCATCTATGTTTGTAAACAATCAAACAAGTAAACTCACAGTGGGCCCGTCACGTATACGTGACACCCGGCGTGAATGGGTTAAGAAGTTGTAGAGCCATCCATGTATAAATACAACAAATAAACGTGTATCAAAGTGGCTATGGCATCTATTCTTGCCATTTGGGGCCAATGGGTTAAATTGTTAATTGGAGTAAAAACAAACTTGGTCATAATTGCTTGTTGAGTAAAATATACCAGAAATTATTTTATTTCTTGGGAAGTTAGTCTCAAGTGGTGGAGGTATGGTTTAGGCATACTAGTACTGTTATACAACAATGAATGAGAGTTGTTGAAAATTAACCCCTTGCCGACAGGGATGGCATGTACGTACATGCCATGCTCACTGTGAGTCGACTTGTTTGATTGTTTTTACACATAGATTGCTATACTTGTACTAAGTCACCAGCGAGCCAATTACGAGTGCTGCCTGTCTCGCCTGTTCACCCTTTTCATCGATTTACGAAAATATTTAACGTTATCCTAATTTGCTGCTAAAAATAACACCATCTATATTTATAGCACTAGTAAGAATTTGTTTTTTCCCACCAATTCAAGGACAGGTGAAATTAGGGCTAGCAGAGCCATCTATGTACAGAGATATTTCACAAAAATATAAAAAATGAGTACAGTAGTTTCCCCATTTTTTATTAATTTTCCCCAGAGGCAAAGGGTTAATTGGTGTTGTGTAAGGGAAACTCACTGTATATATTTAGAATTTACCTTTTATTTTTTTAATTTATTATTATTATTTTAAGCCTTTTATTTGTTAGGATGCAAAATTCTATAACAATGAAAGACTGGAGTAAGAGACATCAGCATTTTGTTTTTAGTGAGGGAGGGGGAAAAGGGGAGAAGAGAGAAAGATTGGAAAAAGAAGGGGAAACAGAGGGAAAAACGGAAGAAAGAAGTTGAAATCAGGGAGAAAGAGTGAGAAGGGATATAGCAATGGCTAGTAATTTTTTGGGTTCACAAAGGTTATGTCTTTTCCTTATTTTGATATGGTTTATTTTGATACATTTTATCCCAGTGGGATCCTCATTCAACAGACTTAAGAGATTCCACCTTAATTGTTATTAGTAGTAGTGGTATTGTCATTATTTTTATAACTACTACTACTACCTACTACTACTACCACCACTGCCACTACTACCACTATATATATATATATATATATATATATATATATATATATATATATATATATATATATATATATATATACATATATATATCTATACATATATAGATATAGATATAGATATAGTGGTAGTGGCAGTGGCATTGGTAGTAGTAGTAGTAGTTATAAAAATAATAACAATACTACTACTAATAATAATAATTAAGGTGGAACATATATATAAAGAAAAGGGTAAACGGGCGAGACAGGCAGTACAAGTACAAGTGTAGCCATCTGTGTGTAAAAACAACTAAACAAGTAAACTCACAGTAGGCATGTCACGTATACACACACACACACACACACACACACACACACACACACACACACACACACATATATATATATATATATATATATATATATATATATATATATATATATA